ACCCGGCCTGAGAGCGCTGGCACCGCCTCCGAAGCCGTCCACGGCGAACGGCAGGGCCTCTGCGGTGCAGCGAAGCGTGCTGAATTCAGCCGTTCGAGCATCACTGGAGTGAGGCGTTCTCTTCTTGCCGTTTATCTTCTTGGCGGCGTGCCGCGTGCATACTACGTGACGGTGTAGGCGCGTGGGCTCGCCTAAAAGGCTCGCACCTGTCGGAATTGTGGCGCGAGCTCTTCCGCCTCTGCTCCAGAGGGCACAGCGACCCAATGGATCCAGTCCAGCGATCTCAGTTCGTCTGTTGAGGGCGCTCCTCCGCTCCCACCGTTGCACTAGGTAGTGCTGCCGTGTACTGGCGCCAGCGAGCTCCATTCAGATCCCGCACGCGCGATCGGCAGTCGAGTTACAACCCGCAGCCGTGCAGTGCGTGCGCACCACGAACCGTTGTTCGGCGATCTCTCGGCTCTCGCTCCTCGACTCGCGCTCGGACGCGAGGTGCGTGCTCGCCTGCCCCCCCGGGAGGGGACACGGCCTTTTTGAGCGAGATCGGGGAAATCACCCTCATCGCCCACCACTCACGCCTCCCTCCCTCTCCCGCTGCCGCCGTATCCGGTCCTAGCCTGCGATACATTGAGACCTCACGCCCCGCGACTGTCTCCCACGCTCGCAGGCGGGCCTATCCGCCGTGCCACTCCATGCGTGATCATCGCTGGGGGCAGCGGTGCTCGTGCGACTGCGGATTCGGCCTCACCTCACGCCCTCTGGCCTGCAGCTGCATGTCGCACGGCGCCGTGCTCGAGCCCCCCGGCGGATTGGGACGATCCTTGGCGGTGTGTCATTGCTGGGAGTGGCAAGCTCGGTCCGGCGCCAGTGAACACGCGTTTGGGCGACGCGAGTGCCAGAAACAGAGAGGAATCGCCCGTCTGCTTCCCTGTGTGGGACGCGGGGTATGCAGAGATTTCATGGTGAGAAAGTGCTCGGAAGAGGTCATACGGGGTGGTCCCGCACTCCTCAGGGTAGGTACTGACATCCCTGAGCGCGTGCACATGCTGAAGGGGCACACGGATTGTGTGTTCTCGGCGATGGTGAGTGCAGACGGCATGTATGTCGTGACGGCGTCGAGCGACACGACGGCGCGCGTGTGGAGCCTGGCCAGCGGGTGGTGCCTTCTCACTCTCAATGGGCATACAGGTAGTGTATGGTCGGCGACATTCGTACCGGTGGCGGAGATCTCCGCGGCGGGAGCGGGCAGTCTTCGGCGGTCGGGGCGGCGTCGACCCCCGCGCCCGCGTTTGGGCAGTCTTCGACGGTCGGGGCGGCGTCGAACCCGGCGTTCGGCCGCTCGCCGGGGTTCGGGGTCCCAGCGAGCGGCGAGGGTGCATTTGCCGCGGCGGCGCCGGCGGCGGGCTCAGCGGGTGGCAAGAGGGCCCTAGAGATGGCCCAGCAGCAGCTCGACGTGAAGTGTCGTCGCCAGGAGAAGGCCGCCGCTGCACTATAAGCGAGGATGGCTTCGCCCTGCATAACAAAATCGAGGACAACGCGTCATGGCAGTCGCTCGCACAATTCCTCCACACCAGTGATGCAGCGGAGTTTCTTAGGCAAGGGCAAGGACGTCACTCGCAGCTTCGGAGAGTACAATGCGCTGCGCCTCGCCTCGGCCTGGAAGATCCAGCATCCGCGCGCGCAAAGGCGCTACGACGTC